AAGTATATTGCCAATAAATTTTCGCATTACAATGATAGCAAGACTTCGGCGCGCGCACACACACACGTACTCATACATTGTAATGTTTATGTAAATACTGCCAAGCGGTGTCGTTGTTAATGAAAAATGCAGCAATCGTAGTTGCGGTAAGAATAGGTTTAAAGCAACATTTCGCATTGCTGCTGCTTAGCATATTCTGATCGCTGTTCAGTGATAAATAATTCAGAACTTACATGCATACGAGTACATATGTTTCTTTAAATCTTGCAGTGCCACACAAGCAGAAATCGCTACTTTAAAGTGGCACATATATWATTTACATATATCTAATAGTGGGTGCCATTTTGGAGTTTTCCATTCGAAATATGTAAAAGAAATACAAAATATTGTTTGTTTACCTTTTTAGGTTCGCGTGAAGCTTGATCTCGTTTTATCTACTAGTATATGTTTGACAGCCATTTACTAATGGCAGGAGGGGTTTGTCAATGAAAAGAAATTTAACAATGAGGTTTCTTAAACTCTTCTTTAACAATGAGGTTTCCTAAACTTTTTTGTTTTCATTCAAATTATCTCTACGAAATCGCTGAAAATGTTTCTATATATATCCCGAACTCAAGTTTGTTTTTAGTTGTTTTAAGCATTCAYTGAAGGTCGTGAAGTCATCAGAAATTGTTCTTATGCGAATCGTCCATCCACCTCTGCTAATGACCTCAAAATCTCTTATGGATCGGCTYAACACAAATTTATTAATGTTTATGTTATCAAGCGGATTAATGCTAGACTCAAGAAAATCTAACTTTTTTCAAAGTCCTAGTCAAATTTGATCAGATAAAAATATACATGCATAAGTGTTGCAAATTGATTAAGTTGGAAATAGAGTTAGACGCTTTGAAAGTTTGATTTCTTTTATTTCCGTTTGACTAGCTTTTTCACGCTGACGGTAGTGTAGAAAGTTTTACATCAATCATTTTGAAAATTAGCATTGGCAAAGAGCTATATGAGCTTAAATTCGGAATAATATCATTACTTAAATTGTTTTGTTGAAAAATGCCTAAAAGAATTTAGTTACATATAGAAAATGTGGTTGCTAATATCTTTCGTTTTTCTCAAAAATTTGATGGTACATATCTGTAATATATTTTAAAACTTTCAATAAGTTTTATTCATATTTATGCTTTAAAAAAATTATGAAAATTAGTAATAAGGTGCTCTCTTAATCCTATTCAAGTAAGCCAGTCATAACAGCGAGCCATCACAAAATGGCGCTAAATTTTAGAATGCGATCTTCATGAGAAACCCTTTCTATGTATATGCAGCGTAGACGAATACCAGCATTTCTGAGTATTTATTGTTGCCAGAAACCGAATAATCTATGGCATAAATAAAGTAGTGTCAAATCAAATGATTTCAATATCAAAACACTATGATTTAAAATTTTATTGCAATTCTTTTTGTTAAAAAAAATACATATTTATTGTAAAATTATTTAATAAGTGACCGACGTACTTCATTTTATACATATTTAACTACATTTCTCGACTGCTTAATAAGTAAGGGTACAATCACTAGAAATTAGTAGTCGTTATTGTTGCCATTGCACTTGTTACTATGACTGCTCAGGTATTCTTTAATACACACACGCTTTGAGTGGCCTAATAATGGGTTTACAAGTTTTAGGGGTGTACTTTATTTTAAATATTCAAGGTCGGAAACATAAATTAATTTTAGTATTATATTAGAGTGCTCTTATTTCATGTTAGCACATTACTCATTGACATAGTAGATATGTTTCCACAAAATACATAATTTTAATTATTAATAGTAAAAGGACGCATATTTATAATCAGCCAGAAGCTACATTGGCTTAGTTGAGCTCCGTGATAACAAAAATGCATTTTTTAATAATAATAGGATAGTCATACAAGGAACCAAAAAATACAAGTCTTCATGTTGAAGAAAATCCGCAAGAAATCGTTAGAAACACCTTACGCTATTTTTCATCGACTGGCGATTTGTATGGGTTTCAAGCAATTGCGGGACGATTTTACGAATATATATTTATGAAAATTTTTACTAACAGTTCTTAACTTTTTGGGAAAACTGCAAAACATATTTTTGATGCTGCTGAAGACATATGTGCCATCTTTAAACACGTTTTGCCCGAAACTGTGTTTYGAAGACGGTTGGAATGATTGCTCGAGAACTACTGCACCCATCTTCATGAAATTTTACACAGGTCTTTGAGGTACAATTCTTAAAGACTTGGACGAAGATTTTTTTTTTTTTTTGATAACAACTATTTGAAAAAAATGTCGCGAAATCTTCACTGGAACTTTCATTTTTTGTATCTACAAATGTCTGCCAAAAATCCAAATTTCAGTTTTTTCCTTCTTCCATGTTCTAAGTTAAGGTTTTTACTTTAAATGATCCTGTAAGGAATTATCCTGCCAACGCGAGCGCATACTTTTTCCGAGGGGTCACCARAAATGGCGTCGGAATTGCGTAGTTTAACATATTTTTTTCTAAAAGTTTCAAAATTTCTTTGTTAATAGTGTATGTTTGTAATAATAAAAATTGAAATGAAATATTTAATTTTTTATATCAGAAAAACTTGTTAAAAAGAGACTGTTTTTTACCGAGGAAACCCATGTAAAACCTTAATAAAAACTATTCTAATTAGAACATCCCTCATGCAATTACATGTATGTTCTATTTCGTTAGTTACAGCTCCATTTAATGCCAAAATGCACAATTAGCATGCAGCACAAGAACAATGCATTAAAGTACTTTAATAATTTGGTATTGAAAATTATTCCGAAAATTTGCACAACTTCCCTCTGTGTCAAATTGGCGTTGCGCTCTGTTAAATTTTCAACATTTCGTAGTCGCAAACAAAAAGAGAGAAAGAATTCAACATGATGTTTGCATAGTTGCTCTTGTAAATGCAAATATTTTAGTTTTTGTTTATGCCTAATGCATACACATTTGTCATGATTCCATTAAATAAACATGTGAATTTGACTAGTTAAAGTGGGATCAATATTGGTGAGCATTTCCATATTTTTTACATATTATAATTCACATAAATTATCATAAAAAAGTTTTGTAGTATACTAAAAAATTTTATTACCTAATATTTTTGCTCAAACTGTATCCTACTGACATTATAAAATTGTTGTGACAAAATTTAGTTCTAGCTTTATTCAAACTTTATATATTGTAACTTTAGATATATGTAATAGAATTACATATTAAATGACTSCATCTATGATTTTATAAATTTAATAGTAGGGAAAAATATAGTTATTTATAATGAATTTAATTTGATTTATTTAAACAAATCCTAACCAAAGCCTCAATTGAATATTTTATAATATTTTTTTAAATAATTTAATATAAAATATTGTATTTTAAATCTGGATAAAATAAAAATTATAAGAAAGGTCTCGAAAGTATAAAAAAACAACACAAATAACACTGATCACACAAATCTCTTCTCGAAATCTGTTGTATGTCATATGACACGAAAAGGAGCTGCCTTTACGGATATATCCCTTTGTCTGAATTTAGTATCCCCGCAAAACAAATATGGCTGTGTAAACTGACGTTGAGTAATACCAAAAGATCTGTCAGAGTCGGGAAGGACCTCTCCGAGCAGTGCGATACCAAAGAAAGTTTCAGACAAGGCGACTCCCTTTCGTGCTACTTTTTCAATCTACTCTTGGAGTAAATAATTCGAGCTGCAGAGCTAAATAGTGATGTTACAATCTACTATAGGAGTGTACAGCTGCTGACATAGTTCAGCGAATTAAGAGACAGACGCTGCGCTGGCTAGGTCATGTCGTCCAAATGAATGAAAACAATCAAGCTGATAGTATTCGACACAGTACCCTCCTGGGGAAGCAGAAGACGAGAATGTTCTCCACTCACAGATGATAGCTGTATTAGACCAAGCCTTTAAAAATGGTAAAAACTGATAATATAATAACATAACATATCTGTTATATATATTATATACATATAATAATAACAGAAAGAAATTCATCGGAAAAGAAACAGATTATAAACAAAAATGAAACCACAAAATAATTTACAGACTATATGAGGTCAGATAGTGCAAGAAAGGTAGTTTAGTTTAGTTTTTAAGGGGAAAAATCGCTTTATTTACATTTTCAATATAACCCTACAATCCCTATGAAAAATTTAAATCTCATAGTAAGATAAGTAACAAARAGACCTTCAATTTTTGTATTAATCTGTAAACAGTGCGAATAACCGAGTTTTTGGTATATTACCATTTTACAAAAAAATATTTTCCTTAACAAAGTAGATGTATGTGCGTTTTTATATCCCAAACTGGCTATAAGTTTTTTGATTTTAAAATTTTAATCTTTTTCCTTAATTTGACTTAATATCCAGAAAGCTCTCTAATATTTAAAAGAAAATTATCTTGTSAAAATATATATTTTTTATGTAGAGYCTATCCATTCTTTGCTTTTAAAGTATTGTCTTAAATTTTCAAGTTGATCCGAGTAATATTTTATGAGATACAACCTTGAGAACTTTCTTTAACGCGATTTTCTCGAAACTGAGTTTTTGAAGTCGGTTGGCAAGATTTCGCGAGAACTACCCAACCGATTTTCACGAAATTTAACACAAGTCTTCTATGTACAATTCTTAAAGACTTGGATGAATTATTTTTTTTCGATTACGACTATTTAAAACAAAAATCTCGATATTTTCACCGAATTTTTCATTTTTTTGTAAAAATGTCTGTCAAAAATCCAATTTTCAGTTTTTTTCCTTCGTCCAAGTTCTAAGTTAAGGTTTCACAACTCTAATCACAATTTTTATCACTTTAGATGATCCTGTAAGGAGTTATCCTGCCAACGCAGGCGTATTTTTTTCCGAGAGGTCACCGGAAATGGTGTTGCAATGGCCAAGCTAACAAAAATTTTCCAAAAATTTCAGAATTTCTTTGTTAATAGTGTAGGTTTGTAACAATAAAAAAATGGATATATTTCCTTTTTTAAATAAGATTTTTTTTGTTTTTTTAATGCTGTTTTTCTCCTTAATTGTAGCGGGTATTCTAGCTTCCGTGCAAGCCGAAGTTAATTATTTTCTTGTTTTCCCTTTCATTTGGTTTGATTGTCTGCCTTTACCAATTTCGTTTCATTCTGCTATTATATCGGTTTCAAGAATTATCGAACCAGGTCTATATGTAATTTGAATACAAATACTTACCTCAATTACAGTAAAATCTTTTTGCTAGAACTTCAAAGCCAATTCCGTTCTAACAACKGTTATTTAAATTCATATGCAGCGCCAAGTAACTTTAAAGGCAACCGCTGCCGCAAGCAAAATCTCAATGAGCTGCAATTGAGTTTTATCGTTATTTAAAAAATGCAACTATGACATCTGCGACAAACTCACAATACACACACACATATATACATTTACACAACTCGAAGTAATCAAGTGCAGCATATATAAAGAAACCACTTCGGAATCACAAAATCAGAGCACGCTAACAAAATGATAGTGTCCACAGCGGCGATAGTTGTCGTCGATTTTTATTGTTGTAAATTTGCAACTCTTCAACAGCTTATGTTTGGGTCTATTTTGCTTTGCAACGTGTTTTTGTTGTTGTGTTTGCACTTGACAATTTGATGCAATTGAGCGGCAAGTTTGYGCGCATGCCACTCACTCGTTGCCAACGGCCAGTCGCGACGATGACGTTGCACGCGTTATTGCACCACACTACATGCCAACAACTACAACAACAAAACTATCAACACCTGATAGGAATGCAGTAGTCATGTGCAGCTTTTTGCAGCAGTGATTACTTCAATCACCAGCAGATGCATCGCGCCGCATGCTGATCTGGTATAAATACATATTTACATATATTATATCGTATATGAATATATAGTGTGCACTGAATGCGGCTCGCCAGTTGACCCTGTGATTTAGTTCAGTTTTTCGCGCTTCGTTGCAAAAATGTCRATATGTAAATAAGTATTTTTTCAATTTTATTTTGTATTTTCCACCTGTATTTTAGCGAGTTCCGACTTCTGCCAAACAGCGTAGCATTCTATGCTATTCTATTCAATGTCCACAAAGGCTGAAATTTAAAAAAAAAATTTCGTTGCATGTAACATGCTAGTTTGTTTCTTATAACCAACTTGACCTTAGGTAAATTCGATTGTGTAAAATATAAAATTTTTTTGAAGAAAAATTTTTTCAATTTCAATTCTTTATTCATGAAATTAATTTTAATTCAGACACGTCGAAAAAGCCTTTGCAAAGAATACTTAAAAAAAAGTTTTACTCTTTACAGTTTTTTATATCCATAGGTATTTATAATGCTGTTACATAATCGAGATAAATATAGCGTTGTTCTTATCTTTTCAGTCAATATGTGAATGATTTTACGTTGTTGTTTTTTGGAGCAAGAATTTTCTCTAAATAATAATAAGGCATGTTACCTTTTTGACAGAGCTTGGACCAGTCAAAATCGGGGTTTGTTTCTGTTACGAAGCTTCAACTGAATTGGACCTTGAGATTCAACTTGAATAAAATTGTCACTAGAGTTATTCATTTTTAATGAACCTCGCTACGCCCACAAATACCATCTGATCAATTTGCTTCGAAATGACAGAAGAACTACGCTTTCACTTATATTAATACAGCTCTTTATTATGGCCTTCGCCTATTTTCGAAACACTTGTTATTAGCCTCGGATCGTACTTTGACTGAATTTTTGTGTTTTTGCCTTCGGCTAGTTTATGGAGCGCCATTCACTAGATTACAGTTCCGACGTTACATGCATAAGCCGTTTCATCGCCATGATGACTTTGATGGTCTTCAGCTACGTTGTCAATACTTTCTTTTGCGACCTTTACATAACGTCGTTTGTGCAGAGGATTCAGGTCTGTCTCGAAGAATTAACCAAAATATTTTGAGTTGATTCGTTGAAATTCTCTAAAATCTCTCTGTTACCGATGATTCGCCAATAATTGTAAATTCACTCTCACTGGACTATCGATAAAGATAGCAGATTCTAACGCACTAGTCGACATATATACAGATGGCGCCACCAGGGGCGCTTTGGAACCCACCTTGTACTGTTTCTTTAATTTTTTTCAACCTTGGAGATTTGGAACCAATTTGTATCGATTCAGTGTGCATTCGTAGTTTAAATTCAGCAGTCCGAATCATTTTTGACTCTATGATATACATAATTATTTTATAGTATAACTTGTCTATACATATGCCCATATGATTTCATCAAAAGTTCGTAAACTTCTAATTATAAACTGTAACCTATGTATATAAAAATAACATATTTTTAAGTAATTAAAATACCTTGTGCAAAAATCAACGTTTCGGAGTAAAAATAAATGCCTCTCAAATGTCTTCATTATATCTGAAGTATGTAGATCTCAACATTTTCACTTAAATGGTTGCGAGATTGACTTTATGACTCATGCGCTTCAACTACTTGCCGGCTACAATGTAAACATACATAATTCAAGTTTGAAGATGACACTGCCATGAAGCGCTGCACAGTGTCTTGTTTTACGAATTCCATGAAAAAATTTAGTTTTTATATTAATACATAATTTCGGAATCTAAACTAATGTAAATAATTAGAAAGATGTGTGGTATAATTGATACATATTATACAAACATATGTTAAATAGAGTCTAAGAGGTTTTTTCAGTCTAGAAGTTTCAAAAAATGGAATGCAAAGGTGTTCATTATTATTAATTATATATATTTATATTATTTTACAATTTATAAAAGTAGAACATTGAACAAATTTTATCTCTGCTGGAAGTATCGTAAAGTTCGGGTCATTCATGTTTGTAAAACTTTTCAGGTGGTTTTATTGGGAGTTTTAAAAATACTCAAAGGCTATCATACTTATCCAATTGAAAAATTTTTGTCACTTTACAGTAACATTATTGTGAAAATCGCGTAAGCAAATTTCATGTAAAGTTAAAAACTTATAATCTTTAATAGTCAGCCTTATGTAGATAATCTACTTTTGTTTTATTTCGGATAGCTCGTATTTCAAAAATTTCATTTTGTGTGAAGAGTCAATATAAATTTAGTTAATAACTCAAATATTTGTATAATAAATCCTGAAAGATAAATTCGATTCCTTTTTATTTTACTTCCATAACGAATTGTCAAAAGACTTAATTATTTTCTTCAAAATTGTTTCTGTATATTTTTAAAATGTGCAAGAAAATACCCAATTGATATAGCAGTTTTTTTAATTTGCAAAAGATGTGTTTTTTAGGCTAACATCCTCGGTGTGTTCCTAACTCTAGACAGGCCTCCCTTTACCATACAAAAATGTCCTTGTTTAGGGGAAAAATTTTGTTTCTAGTGCTAGCATGAAAGGTACCACTGTGTGTACCATTTTATATTTATTGTACGCTTCCTTCACTGCTTTAATTTTTCAAAATACGTTTTGATTGTCTATTATTCTATTATAATATTTGTTTGTCTTTGCGTGCACTCTTTTCTGCAAACCAATTGCTTCTTTTGTTACCGTGGTTTTTTTTTCCTTACAAACTGAGCTCTGAAAGAATTATTATAT